AATTATAAGGTAAAAATTAAATATTTAATTCTTTAAATTTTGGATACTTTGAATTTTAGAATGAATTTTATTGATTCTAAAGCAATTTATTTAAAGAATTATTTGCTGCATATGTGAATTTATTTGACATTTAATTTGGATATATAAATTTTTTCACATTTATTTAATTTGAAGTTATACATTTAGTAGGATTATATTATTTGAGGTTATTGTTAATAATTTTTATACAACAATTTTTTAATGATGTAATTTGTATAAATTTATAAAATTTATGTTTTATTATGAATTTATTCACATACTCAAGACTTTCAAGAAATATTATTATTATCAAACAACATCTTAAATGAATACGACCTACTGTGGATAGTGCCTTCTAAATTTAAAATTCTTCTCATTGAATTTATTAAAATATATAGTAATTTTGATTGAGTTGGTTGAAAGCAACATGTTATAAAAGTAATCTCTGTTGTGTAAATTTGATTCAATCGGAATTGCAAAACATATAGAGTGTAATTGTTCATGCAAATTATTATAGTCGGTCAAAAGGAAGATACAGTTTGGCCGAACAATTATATATCTGTGATGATAAATATGGTAAATATGTAGTAGTTATTAATTTTATCGATATGAATAATGATTGATGTCAAAGACTTTCATTATCTGACCAGACTTATTACTAATGTTTGATCATTGTGTGAGAGTACCGTTTATGGTTAGTTTTTGCAATCAAAGATTATGAATTAATTTATTGTCATATCAGTAATGATATTATATGAGTGTAAATATTTAGGTGTTTATTTGATTACACTCACACATATAAGGTAAACATATGACGATTTAAAGAATTTATTGTTTATAAATATTAATTATCAATGTTTGACATTAAAATAAATATTATTAGCAATTGATTTTATTGCCTAAAGACTTAATATCAATTGAAAATTTTGTATTTTGGTGAGTGCATTTTTTTTGTTTTCTATAAACTAATATAGTTTACATATTTGCAAAATAAGTTAGATTTTGATTCTCAAAAGTTCTAACTTTTAAGAATAAAATATGAACATTGTGATTTTTGGATCTATACCTTACATAATTATGGAGAAACTCAAATTCTCTCACAATTTAATATATTTAAAGTGAGACCCAAGTTTAAAAGTGAGTACACTCCAAATTACACCGTTCTATAATCTTACAATTTTACAATTCAGAGACATTACAGGTGTTATTTAAGATGACATAAATTTTATCATATTATTTTTGCTTAAAATCTAGTGCTTCTAAAGCAATAAAGCGAAAGACAAACTCTCATTAAAGTGACGATTTTTCATTAAGATTATTAAGCAAAGAAAATAACATAAGCATATTATGAAACTATTTAATCTTGCTAAAGCGTTATATTTTCATCAATTAGGTGACTTTGTCGAAAATTTAGCATATGGTATTCTCTTTGCACAATTAAGTTTATATCTATTAAAGTTAGAAATTATTCTTTAATAGAATGATTTCATAAAGTGTACAATAAAGAAAAGATTGAAGCAAGAGAAAAATTGCTCATTTGATAAATACTTTAAAGGATAAGAACAAATAAAGAATAATAAGAAAATATGATCTGAACTGACAAATATTCAATGGTGTTAAAAGGTACATCAATTTAAAGAGACAAATTTGGTGAAGATTGATATTTTTTTATTTACTTTTACCTATTTTAGATTGTCATTATAAGCTTAAATTTGTATTAAAAGACAATTTGGTGGATGAATAATATTTTATTTGAATATTATAATTTTTTTTTAAATGATGGATTCTATTTGTCTTTTAAATTTAAATATTATTATAATTAATTCAATCATGACTTGTGACAATCTAAAATTGTTGAAAAGTTTGAGAAATATAAACTTTAGTATCAAGTTAAAGAATATTTTGAGACAAATATTATAATGTGTCTCGAGAATATTGAGTTTGGGGAGAGATATGTTCAAAGAACAAAATTGTGTGGGAAAGAATTGATTCTAACTCAATTCATATAGTTGCTATTTATATAGAAAATTTAGACTTTCATGCGAATATTATTGTTCTTTCTCTCAATTAAATAAGAAATTAATCCTTGATGATCAAACTCAACATTCTCAAGAACTAGAGCATCAAGTGTCATAAAGAATTGATTGAAAAGATAAATTATATTCAGTATGATTGAAAGATTCTATTATGATAGTTGTGATACTTGTTACTTATTATGATTTTGGAGCTTCGTAAGATAGATATCAAGTTAGTGTTTCTTAATTGCAACATAAGAAAAACAATATGGTGCAATGGAAGAAAATTTTGTATCAATAGATACAAAATTTATGGTTTCCAAACATATAAAATTCATTTATAAGTTAATGAAATTGTCTCATTAGTGATATCGCAATATTTCATAAGGTAATTGTCTCGTTTGACTTTGAAATTTCTATTATGAAAAATTATTGGATTTTATAAGTTCAGTGAGAGTAAGTTTATATTCCTAGTTTAGTGTGTCAATTTTATTTAGTCAATTATTGGATTTTATAAGTTCAGTGATTGTCGTGTGAAACCAAGACATCTCTAACAATTATGAAAGATCTTGGGCACATCTCTTTTGTATTAGGTATTTAGATACTTAGATATTATTCTCAAGGTATCATCTGATTATCACAAAAGATATGAGTATATATATATATATATATATATATATATATATATATATATATATATATATATATATATATATATATATATATATATATATATATATATATATATATATATATATATATATATAATATATATATATATATATATATATATATATATATATATATATATAATTGAAAATAAAACTGACATGAAAGACAATAAACTAGGATATGTCTCAATTATCAAAAGATGCTATTAAGTCTCAATCATTGTCCAAAATAAAAGAATTTGAAAATTTAGAAATTTAAGTTTTTTATACTTTGGTTGTGGTAATCTTATATATGATTTTGGGTCATGCTAACATGTGCCCTTAGGACACATGTTAAGTATACTATAATTAGAAAATTTTAAATGTAATTAAATGTAATAAAGTCATATTTAAAGTTTCAAAATATTAAATGCATACATTTTAAGAGAATATTTCTATAAATAACTTATTAACATGTGCCCTTAGGGCACATATTAGCTTTTTCCTATGATTTTATATGTATATAGAAAGACGTACATAAAATCATTAAGTAGATATTTGAACAATTTAAAATTGAATTGTTGAAAAAGAAGATCAACCATGAGGATTATTATAGAGAACAAAAGAGTTTGCACTAACAAATTAGAGATCTGACAATGAGGAGATCATTAGTATGTTGGACTTTGATATTTTAGATGTCGAATAGACATTTTAATACAGAATAAATGAAGGTAAATATTTATATAATTCAATTACAATTCAATATAAGACTTTGAAAAAATCACTCAAGTTATATTTTGTTGTAAGACAGTCATATATTATTTCAACAATAGATTTTAAAAGTTCGTTGACCTATAAGTAATTATTGTTGAAACTAGAATATATGCATATGAAATTTAAGCTAAAGACTCACTAATCAAAGACTTGACATATAAGGACTCTCATATGATTATTGTCACTAATGATGTCTTTGATTAGTGAGAGTCACTCCTTCTTTATGTTTAATAATATTATTTTGATATCGATACATAATTTATATTAAGATTATCTGCAGAAATAATGTTTATAAGGTTATTTATGTTATAACCATTCATGTATCGTTTGTGTAAATATTGAATTTGCAAACTTTAGTCTGATCTCAATAAAGACTTCAGTTGGACCAGTTAGAAATATACATGATTTAGAGATCACATTGCATAAAATTTTCATGTCACTCATGTGTATCGATCTATGTCATCAAGTGCATTTATGTGGTCGTCGTTGGGGTTCCGTCACGTTATACATCAGTGACGACAACCGTGATGGTTCTATTATTGATGTATGAGGTGTACCAGATTGTAAAGTTGAAATCTAAAGATAAATAACATTTAGATGTGCGCATAATGAATTATGACATAATTATTAAAATATATTGATCAAGTGGAAGATTATTCAAATATTTTAATAATATAATCTTATATTAGTATTTCAATAATTATGTGGCCAAATATATTTATTTAATTATATTAACTATTTTATCAAATAAAGTGTCTTAAATAATTATTTGATCAAATAATGTTAAAAAGTTATTTAGATTTTATTTAGAAATTAATTAACTAATTAATTAATTAAATAATTGGGTATGAGCTCAAATATTATTGGATGTCAGGATGACTCATTTGGAAATAATGGAAACTCTAATTGACCATGATACTATATAAAGAGCGTTCAAGACATTAGAATATCGGTTGAGGAAGATCCATAAGCCATTAGGATTACAGTTATCATTGTCAAATTTTTTTTTTATCTTATAAATCAAAGTATTCGTGAAATCTCATATCTCTTATACTAACATGTTGCATATCTTATAGTTATACA